GTGTGTGTCTAGCAATCAGTGCCAAGTACAGACGGGGCTTAGGCCTGGACCCAAAATGTGTTGCCTACTTCACATGCTTCATGCCGCATGCCGCATGCCACATGCCACTTGGCATATGGGTGCATAAATCTACGTCTGTCTCGGGCTCTTTTATTACGAGCTTTTGGGCATTTAAATAAATTTCAAAGCTTTGGCCAGAGCTGATTTACGAAGGCACCAAAGAAGAGGCTGGCAACTGGGAAGTGGGAGTGGGAGTGGCAGACAACCCATTTAGCGTTAAATGTGCATAGTTTTGTCTGCGGCAGGCAACAAGCCACGTGAAAGTCGCTTTGGTAACTAATACACAGCAGACAGGGGGAGGCAGAAACAGAAACGGCAACTGAGGCAGCAGATGTGCAACATGACAGGCTGAAGCACCCAGAGCAAGAGCCAGAGACAGGGACAGGGACGGGAGCAGGGACCACGCCTCAGCCAGTGTCAGCTGTGGGGTGCCCGAGCCCGAACCTTAACCGAGTTAGGACCAAAGCTGGGGACACAACTGCCGAAACTTTCGACCGGCAGACGGAGTCGCAACCGGAGTCGGAGTGTCCCGAGGAGAGGGCAGGACAGGCAGGACAAGAAATGTAAAGAATGCCACTGACAATGTACAAAGTGCAAAACTAATTTTACAGAGTGAACAGCAGCAACAACAACCACAACAGAGACAGAGACAGGGGCAGGCAGGGCGGGCAGGGCAGGGCACACACAGCCAGATGCCAGACGAGGACTTGCAACATGTTGTCTCGTATCGTATGTGTGTCCTGTGCAGGGGAAATCCATCATACGCCATGTGTGCGGTGCAGAACCTGTCGCTCCGTCTCTGTTTGGTCGGCAAGTCATTTCCGCTTTCAGTGATTAACCAATCGAACATCGAACCTGTGCCTCAGTCCGTCAGTTAATCATAAGTGAACCCTCAATTAGCCAAAACTTGTCTCCCCTCTCGGATCTCGGATCTTGGATCTGACAAACAAAGGGCTTAAAAATTCAGATTGCATTTCTGTCTCCCAGTCCCTCTGTCTGTCTCTGTCTCTGGCTTCTGTCATTCGAGTTTTCCTGTGAGCTTACAGCTTACGCCCTGGGAAAATGTCATGGGAATCCAGATTGCTTTGTTTGCCATTTGATTGGAGATTTGTTTTCAGGGACTTAAGGCCTGGCGCTGGCTGGCCGTCACTTAATTGCTTAGATTTGTTTAATTTAAGCCGATTACCGACGACCACAATTTGTTAAAAGCTTTTAGTGCCAGCGCTCTCACGCTGGACACAGGTGTCAGTTCAGCTCAGCTCAGGTCGGGACAGGACAGGTCTGGTATGCTCTAAGATCCATTAATCGGTGTACTACTGCCGGGGGCGGGGGGGTCAGACGACTCTGCGCAACCTTAACCTTATCGAGGACTCTCTCTCTCTCCCTCAGACACCCGTCAGTGCGGCGGCAACCCAAATCGAATGGGAAATTGGCGAGGGCCACAAAAAAGTTTGGAAAAATGTAATCAAGCACGTAACTTGCACAAATTTTCTGCACTTTTGCCGAGGCCAAAAGCGGGAAAAGCGGGAAAACCCTCTAGGCCAAAACACCCACAAGCAAACACACACACACACACGCACACGAAAGCAGACACGCACGCCTGAGTGCTGCCACCCACACACACACACACACACACACGCTCGTGGCATCCACCGGGAGGAGATGGCAGGCAGCGAGCTGAGGTGCCATCAAAAAGATTGCTGAATGCCTGTTTGTTCTTCTCCCCGGCTGTTGCAATCCTTTTGAGCCACGAACTTCTTTTTTCCCAAGCCCAAACAAAAAAGAAGAAAAACGAGTGCGAGTTTTCGGCCCCCCCCCCCTTCCATCGGATCAAAATACAAAAAGTCAAAAGAAAAGTTAAAGACTTTAAAATCCGCCTTTGGCCAAAGTGATTGAGCGTGTGTCGCAACGAGAAGAGCTGAGAATTTTGTCAAAAAAGTCCCACAGGATGCGTCTCCTGAATAGATTTGGAACCCGCTCTCAATGGAAGACAGAGACAGGGGCGGGGAGCCCTCTCAAAGGCGGACGGACAGGTATGTCCTCGCAGAGGTGAATGGCAAAGTGTGGGCTCTGTTCTGTAGTCTCGTGCCTCGGCATAGTCTCATGTCCCGCAAAGGGTGCTCAAAATCAAATGAAATTGATCCACCCCTTCGTCAAAAAAAAATACCAAAATGAACAGAAATCAAAGGCAGGAATCTCGAGCTGGAGATGGAGCTGGAGCTGGAGCGCTGGTTCTTTGCCAAGAAAGCCCAGACATGATATGAAATTATTTGTCAACGCCGAATGCTATTTTCAACAACTTTTCGAACATTTCATTTCGTTTTCATTTTGGCAGGCGACTTTCCCGTGCGACTCGAGTGGCACGAAACACAGAACCAGAACAGCCAGACAGTGGGTGGGCTCTGGGCAGACAGCGTCCTCTTCCTTTCATTTTGCATTACTCGTACTGTTGCCAGAGGCCAAGAAGGCACAGAGACTGAGACTGAGACCCCGAGCCCGTGCCAAGGCGCAGACATGCAATGACAACCATCGAAATGGAGCGCCGAGCGCTGAAACTTCTGATTGCTTGCAAATGTTTTATTAGCCTGATTTTCAGAAAGGGAAATTCACTCTCCCAGCCAGCATGTGTATGGCAGGAGCAGGATTTGGAGCACCCACACAGAGAGAGAGAAGGTGAAATGCGATTGCGAAATGAAAACCAATCCACATATGAGGTCTTATCCCACATAATTTGGCTGAACCCCATTTGTGGGTCGATGCGATCGCTTTAAAAATTTAACAAGTTTCCCAAGCGGAATCAATGAATCTCTTAGTCACTCACTCACTCGGGTGGCTGGTTGCAAGTTTCTCTCGGCCTTCTTCCTATCCTCTGTCTCTGCCTCGGGGGCAGGCTCCTCGTTCGTTGCCGCTCATTAATTTCGTCTATTTAGGAAAAGTTTTGGCTGCCGCCTCCGACGCCGGTGCTTGCAACTTTTTTAAGTGGTTTGCGGTTTATCATTTTTGGTTTTCAGGGAATGAAAATGCAGCTCGCCCTTAACGCGGGCTCTCCCTCTCTCTCCATCTCCCGCCCTTTTGGGTCCCCCTCTTTCTCCAACAAAACTGCGCGCAAACAGGAAATAACGGTAACGCTGCTTCATTTCCGCTTTTATTAAAACATACTTTTCACGTTGTACCTCATCCGTTCCAGGGCTCGTCTTCCACCGTTCCGCCACCTCTGGTTCTCTTTTGATACTCTAGACTGTCTTGCCGCTGCTGGCCGCAGGCATCTCAGATAATACTCTATCCGGCGAATGGGGGAACGGGGATGCAAAGTCGAGCAGGTGGTTTGTAAAGGTTTGTGGGAATAACCGATCGAGTAACCCAAGGGCGATCGTTGAAAGGGTTTACCAGCTGATAACCCCTGGCAACCCTGGTGAAGCGACCCCTGCGCACTCGCTTCGCCTGTGCGCCCAGCCCTGGATCACTCGCCACACGACACAGTGTATAAACGATTCGTTGTGGCTTTGAAAACATAGTTTTCTCGTGTTTTATCTACTCTAGTTGTTGTCGCGTTTGCTGATTCTGTTGGTCCTGCCGCAGCTCCTGCAGCTGCTTGTCACTTCCGCTAGCCGCCCGCAGTTTTCCCACGAAGGAAACTTGGGCCCAGAGTTTCGGGTTCTGCTCGTGCCCGTGCTCGTACTTTACTTTTGTTTTTTATTTTCTTGTTCGTTATGTGGCTGGCGCTTTAAAAGCAGTCGGCGGATACGCCGGCCCGAGCCGAATGTTGGGGGGCATGCAAACTGCGACCACGCCTACCCACCTAACAGCTTGCCCCAGGAGCCAGAGTTGGGGCGCCCAGCGGAAGCTGCACCGCAGCTAGTTGCAAGTAGCCAAAGGTAATTAATTTTGTAGTTGCAGCCACGGAGAACTCTCTTGCTCCTTCTCTCTCCGTCTTCTGTGGAGGCAGCCACAAGCTTTTGACAGTACGCAGCGTGCAAATGGATTTTCCATTTTCCATTTGCCATTTTACATTTACTTTAGTTTCCCCTCGGAATGAGTGGCAACATTTCCTCAAATACAAATTTTTTACGTGGCTTTGCCGCCTGCCACCCAGTGCGTGTGTCTATTAATTTTCTTGGGATGCAGCCATGTGGCCACGCCTCGTTGGGCGTTGACAAACGCGCCGCACAGCGCCCGGGCACTGATAAATGGCTGTGGGGCAGAGTCGCAACAGGGACTAGTGCGGGAATCGGGGACTGGGGCAGGAGCTTTCTGCTTCAGCAGCCTTTAACAACGGGTCTAATGGAGCGTTTGTTTTGGCTGCGTTGATTTTGCATATCCGAAGGTGGGGCAGGATGAAGAGAGATGTGCTCGAGGCCATGTACTCGGATGTCTGAATCTGCTGCAGGTTGTTTGAATTATAAATTTGATTTTAAACAGCAGCACACAGCACACAGCAGAAGCTGCAGTCTGTCCTGCTGTGTCCTGAGTCATCTCTCTTTTCATTTGACTTGCCTTGCAGTCGGAGCCGTGACCTCCGGCACGGATCAGACCAAACAACCCGAGGTGCCAAAGGCCATGTCACTGGGAAGCAGGGAAACAGGGAAACAAGACGCGTTAAAGTCAAAAGTTGTGACTGCCGGAGCAACAAGCAGCAAGGAAGACAGCAACAAAGGCTATCAAGTGTTACTTTTCCAAGGACCCGGACGGACAGACAGGCAAGTAGAACAAGTGAATGAAAACGAAACGAAGTTATCAAGAAACAAGGCACAAGGCTATTACGTTTGTCTGTCCCTCCGTCCGGCCCTAGACTCTGGCTCTAGCAAGTGTTTCGGCGTTGGGGCCATGGCCGTGGCCGGGGCTCTCTGGTAAACGACAAAATCGACCAGGAAAAAGGAAATCAACTCGGCCGCAAAGTCCCAGGCCAGACGGGGGCCAATCTAGGGACAGGACAGTCCAGCTCAGCCGGAAAAGAGCACAGGCCCAAAACCGAAATCGTAGTGCGTGCCGAGAAAGTACTCCACGACGAGGAAGGAGACGAAGAAGAAGAGGACGAGTCGGTGGGTCTCTAAGCCGGGGCCAATGTCAGAAGTTAAAACGCAATAACAAAAAAAAACCCAACACTGCAGTGCAAAAGAAAGTGGGAAATTTCTAATCAAAGACGGCCTGTCGAGGTCAGAGAGCATAGGGCAGGGCAGAGGCAGAGGCAGCGGCAGGGCTTACGACTGGGACTCGAAAGTCGAAAAGAAAACATGTGAAGCCTTAGAATTGTTTTGCAATTGCCTGGTGCACCACCCCATGCCGGGGCATTATCACTCCATGAACTTCAGTTGTGTCAAAGGACATTATCTCCTTCGTTCTCTCTCTCTCCCTTTCTCGATCTCTGTGGCCCTCTGTCTTGGTCTGTGTCTCTGTTTGTGCTCTCCTTGTGACCCGCTGGGGCTAAGCTGCACTGCAAGGCTTCATAATTTCCACCGCATGTGGTCGTGTTCTGCCAGTTTCCCCCACTCCCAGCGGGGTGGTGACACGTCTTTGGTTACGCTCTCGACTTGAAAATTGAATTTGCCTCAGGAATGCGGGGGATATTATTATTTGCGGTGGTGGATGTATTCGTATATTTATTTTTGGCAAATATTCGAAGGTAATTAATCAACTGCCACGCGCACATCTCAGCCCACACATTGCCAGAATTCTATTAGGCAACAGCTGGGCCTGTGCCTGTGCCTGGTTCTCGTTCTGGCCTTGGTTAAAGTTGCTGCCTAAGCCGCTGCAAATCCCCTGAAAGCTTTACCTGTCCACACACCTGCCAGGGAACTTGCAAAACAAAAACGGGGCAGCCGGCAACAAAAAATTCCGAAATTACAGAATTATGCCAGCTGTCGCAAATATCCAGAGATCTCTCTCTCTATCTCTCTCCCTTTCTCCCCAATGCCAAAGAAGCTTAGCCAGAATAGTAGGAGAGAGAGAGAGAGAGAGCAAAATATATGACAAATCTGTATGAAAGTGTCTCTCTATATGGGAGTTTTATTCGCCTTTATCGAATCTGATTTTGTTTGGTTTCCTTCAGAGCCAGAGCTCAGCACTCAGCAGATCCTTTCAGCCCGATTCAATCTCTCGCAAAGGATTTTCCGCTGAATTTTATGCTAATTATGCCGCTAAGCTTGGAAACTTTCAAAAGAGTTTTCGGGGGTCTTAGAGCGCTTATAGAACTTCGAGTCGAGTCGAGGCGAGGCATCAGTCGGCAGTCGGCTGAATGTTTGCCCAAGACATCTTTGCGCGCTTATGCAAACAGATTTGCGCTGACTTCAGGAAATTAAATTCCAGGCAAAATATTCGCACACATTAAAAGCATCTTTTTATACCCGATGCTCAAAAAGGGTATCGGGGTATACTAGATTTGTGGTGATTTTGAAGATACGAGAAAATCTTGGTCAGATCGGATCATTATTATAGCCAGAAGAAGCAAAGGAAATTGCATTTGCTGTCTCTCTCTCTCGCACATTCTTCGTCGTGCAATGTGTGCGCCCCCCTGCGGAGGGCACTGACTGAGTATCGGCTATAAATGTAGCGTAGCGGACCTAGCCGCGACTCACATCGTTACTGCTCGCTATTTTTTTATCCGCACATTTTATTTATGGCCAAATGCTTATAATTTACGTTCCACAGTTGCCACAGACGGGAAGCCGTAGAGGCGGAGGTGAGCCGGCCGGCGTCTATGGCATCAACACTTCCGCGAGAGACGGCGACGCCCGTGTCTGTGATATCAACTGAGACGCTGGGAAGCGGAAATCCACGTAACGGAGCAGGAACCGTAGGAATCGCAGGAATCGAAAGACGAAACAACAATAGCCGTGGCGAAAGCGTCGGGAAACCCTAAAAAGAAAGGACATGCTCGGGCAAATTTTGTTGCGGACGGCAGCAGCAGCAGCATATGGCAAAAGTTTAAGTAAGCAATATTTATTTTGTATTTCCATTCTGGTTTCCATTTCAATACAGATTCTCACATAGACCGCAGTCTGGAGCGGATTTCAGCAGAGCTGCTCTGCGCGTGGTATGGGGAAAATATGAAAAATTGCAACATATTTTCCTCGACTCCGTCTGGGGGCGAAAGTTTTATTTGTTTGCTTCATTGCATGGTCGAGGCATTTTGTGGTTGAGCGAGTCTCAAAGTTGCTTTGCCAGGAACACATTTTTAGAAGTTAAGAGAAAGGCAAAAAGGGAGGGTGGGCGAGAGAGAGGAGGGGAAAACTAAAACTGCACACAAAGGCAAATTTGTTTTTGACGATGCATCTGCCAGGGGGCTTTGGGTAAATGGTATCGGGTGCATGTACGTACATTTATATCCGTAGAACTTGGTCACTTGTCTGGCATGTCAATAAGCCATACCATTTGCCATTTTTGCGGTTCTCAGATATGTGCAAAATACTCCGTAAAATAGTTTGGTCGAGAGATATATTGACTTGTGGCCAGTGCCATGGAATGAGCTGCATTCATCATTGATAATGTTTGGGGGGGAATGTGACACTCACCTCCTTCGTCGGTCATCACCAGGATGGTTGTCTCCGGTCCCAGGCCCTCCGGGTTGAATACCTGCACGGTCACCTTGTACTGCGTGTACGTCTGCAGGTTCTGTATTTCATGGCTCTGCAAATCGGGGAAGGAAGTAAACATTTTGTGAGAAATATTAAAATTGCTTCTTTAATATGCAAAATATACACACACACACACACACACCAGAACCAGCACCATAGCCAGCACCAGAACCAGCAAAGACTTTTCATTTGTTGGTAGTATAACAAAATAAAGTGGAGCACTTTCCAGCAAGTGCTTCTGTGAGGCAGCACCGCCTCACAGGCGGAACCCCCCTCCGGGCATTGAGCAGGCTTGGAGCGGAAATTGCGCGCTGCATACTTTTGTGCGTTGCCGTCGGCTGGCGTCGCGTCGCTGGCAAATATGAAAATTGCAGCACTTAAAATTGATTTGCAGTGCAGTGGCGATGGTGCTGCAGAAAGGAAATTGAGTTGCTTGGCAGCTAGCAGGCAGCAGTCCTTGGCTTAATTGCCGTAGCACACCCACCATGTGCGAGTGGTTAAGGCTTCGCCTCTCGCTTTTGTGGCCTTTGTCCCTGAATTTCGCGAGTGGTGTGTGCGGCTGATTAAAGTGTAAGCAAAGGTCAAAAGCAGTGCCAAACCATAAAACAAGCCGCAGACTTAGAGTGGTTCAGTGCCTCCATCACCCACACACACACAGATGCAGAGACACACGCAAATGGTCAAATGTGGCTGCTGCCTACAGCAGGCACAAATTATGTAGCATACATTACGGCGCTCTTGCTTGCTCCTCGGCCTGTACATATATGTGTGCTTGTGTGTATGTGTGTCTGCGGTTAGGCCACAAACCAACGGGTTTTGACTCTCTGCGAGTCCTGGTGCTGTGCTTAGAGCCGGATTGACTGCCATGCCAACAGCTTAAGTGGCTGCTCGGTGCCCAGAGCTCTACGGCTTTTCAGACGGCGCCAGTTACTATCGCAGTTATTTTTACCAAAAGCGTTATATCTTATGGTCTTTCTCTATGTACACACACACATCTCTATGTGTGGTTGTGGGTGCGCTGCTCTGCGGCTCCATATAATTTCATTTTATTTAGTCGCCAGTAAATGAGGCCGAAAATTTACAACTGCTTTTATTTTTATGGACAGCAAAGAAGTTGGAACTGCCCGAGGCCGAGGGGACACTTAATTGATATAATGTAATTGATAAAGTTGTTCGTGCCGACTGCTGGGTGGAGCATATTGCATAACTCGGGAGAAGGAAAGTGTGAAGCAGGAAAAACCACTTCACTTCGCCTCTCTTCCCTGCCGCTGTCTCTATTTCCCTTTGCGTTAATTAGTGCTCGCGGTGGATGGCTCTCACGCACACAAAGGCACACACATACACACACTCATGGAACCACAAAAAAAGAAGCAGATACAGCCGCAGATGCAAATTCATCTGTCAAACAAATCCGAATGCCTGCTCGCAACCAAAAAACTCATCACTTTGCAAACATTTTTCGCACTGAACAACTCTATTTTACGAGTATGGGTGTTTTTTGTGTGTTTCCTTAGTCCTCCCACAGCAATATCACCGTCGGGCAACGCTTTTTTTGAGCATTTTCCTGGTAACTGAGCTTCCTTTAGGGCCAGCAGCAGCAGCCTTTGAGGTATCGCCTGGCTCAAAGTTCTCACTCTGCCTCCTTCTCCCTCTCTGTGTCTGACTTTTGTCAGGCTTTTATCAGTGCGAAAGTTGCGAAATTTATGCTTTACGGCGCAGAAATTTTAATTAGAAAATTGGCAAATTTAGCCCTGCAGGACACACCCGCGAAGCAGCACCAGCATCAGCAGCAGCAGGAGTCGGAGTCGCCTCACACGTGACAGCTCAATGTAGATGCCACTGGCCACTAGGAGAGGTGGATGGAAAGAGGATGGGGGCCGAAGGCCACTGAACGCTGATGCTGCGATATGGGAATAACAGAAAGCCATGTCCTGGACTCCGCCAAATGACTTGAGCGCAAGTGCGGGGGGAAAAAAAAACGCCAGGAATAACTAAAGTCGCACGTTTCTGCCTGCAAGGATAATATTTCAACATGCCACTGACATGCAAAAGAGAGAAAAATAGTGGAGCTCTGGGCACGAGCAGAGTGTGGCATGCCACGGGGGCGGGAACGAGTGGAGAGGAGAGTGAGCGGCAGCTTCTAGATAAGAGCAAAATATGCACTCGAGCACAAAAGCGTGCCATGCTTGTGGCAATCAGGCGTCATCCGCCTCCTCCACTTGCCATTTTTTGGCCACTCCGTCGCGTTGCGTCGCGTCGCGTCGCGCCGAGTGTCGTACGTGAGCATTATCGCTAATAATTTTTGCATATTTTAAGCTGTGCACGGCCCGGCCCGGCCCGGCCAGTCCTATCCTGTCCTCGAAAATCCGCTTCATTCGCATCCGGCCCCAAGCTCCAGGCTCCATGCTGCTGCTGCAAATGCATTCCCCGAGCGGGCTTAGTATTTGGCTCAAATATCTCCCCAAATGTCCAGCGGTTTGACTTTCAAGCGTGGGGAAGGCTTTAAGGCGACGGCTAGGAGTGGAGACGACTAAAATTTAGACAGGATATTGATTGAATATGGACAATAGGTACATCGCATCTGGTGGAGCGAAATGGAGCTATAGATATTCACTAAGGAAAGCCAAAGGTTGGACTGGAGGTAGAGGCCCTCAGCTATGGATAGATGTAATTGTAACGGCCACAGAAAGATGGAAAGCCAATTTAGTAGCAGAGAAAATCAGAAATATATTCGTCATTCTTAAATCTGATTGATTGATTATTCTAGCTCCTTTCAGTAGAACGAGAACGAGTACGTTTCCCAGGCTATTTGTTGCCAGATCCGTTTCAATTCGTTTCGATGGACTATCTGCTCCCTGTACACACCCCAATTGCGTGTTGAACTGTCCCACACTCGCACCCACGCACAGGCAGACACACGGACAGATACTAGACAAAAACTGGCCCCAGCTGAAAGAGAGGGATGGAGAGAGAACTAATCGTTAACAAATTGCCAGTGATAGCGTGGCCCCAACGAGATATGGTAAATGCCCCCTGGTAACACCTTGACAGGCCGCCATCCGAAAAACACTTGTAACCGTGCCGTGCCCCACGTGTGCCTTGGGTGTTGGGTATGGCTGGTCTGTTGTGCCAGTGTGGGAAATGTTTTTCCTGCCGCCAGGTGTAAATTACTTTTTAATACCGCCGCTGATGTGACTTTAAGCCAGCGAATGACAAGACGGAAAAGCATTCCTAGACAAACTTTAACCCTGCACAGAGTGCGATGGCAAATGGTGGGAAAACATGTGTATTGTATGGATGGGATTGAAAATGATATGCACGTCGCAGGGCAGACATAGAAACAGACAGACACAGACAAACAGACAGACACGAACCAAAACCGAAACGAAATTGAATGACGCTGCAGGTATCCGTCCTATCCGCATCCACACGAAGGGCCGCCCCTCCCTCTAGCCACCAAAGGTTTCCGTTGCATTTCCAATATGGCAAAAGTGTCAGAAATCATGAAATTCAATTATCTTTGGCCTGTACAACTAAATAGGAGAGTTTTCTGAGAGGCAGCAAAGGGTCCCACATGCTAGAGATGGTAAACGATGTCGATGTTGAGCACGATAATCGAATAAACAACCGATAAATGCCATCCAACTGATGCCTTGATGGTTGGACAATAATATACAGGTTAAAATTGGTGTCTACATACCTCCACAGTGTTATCCCTTATATAGATTTCCTTGGTATCATTTGGATCGCGATCGCGTGGCCGATATGTGATGCGATAGCCGAGAAACTCCCCGAGAATGGTATCCGGTGGCGGCGGCTTCCATGAGATGTACACCGACGTCGAGGACGTGTTGTGGGCCGTTGTCGGTATGGGCTTGCCCGTGGGCGCTGCAAGAGATACGAGTACGATGGGTTAGACTTCGCCGAAAAAACTTTGACTGGCAAAAGTTTAGCCGAAACTCAAAAATTTCAAATTAAAAACGTCGCGTAAAAGTTTCGCCTACCCTTCCAGCAGCACCACCACCACCACCACCGCCGTGGCGATGCGCAACTCTGACCTGTCATGTAAGCCGGAACGTTGTCTGTGGCATTGTCAAGTTGTCACTGTCACGCAACATAAGTTGCGAGTGCCCCAGCCCGGACCGGCCCGGCCCGGCCCGGGATCTAGATCTGGATCTGGATGGGGGGCCTATGGTTGGACCTGGCTAAGAGCCTTGCCTATGCGAATTACTCGCAAGTTAAATGATGCGTGTGTCGCGCCACGCTCAGGTGAGTGGTGCAGAAGTGGGGCACAGCTAAGGCTGCTGCCAAGGTGATCTGGCAGTTTGCCAGCAATAGAATGGAGAGTGGAGTGGGAGTGGAGGTGCTCTGAATACTTCAACGAATGTATAAATAAATTAAAAGATATGTTGTATCTTTGGGTTGACATTGATGCTGAGGCTAAAGTTGCTTCTGCAAATTGAAAAGTTTTCGGTTTTATTCCATCTGGGATTATGGATCTACTCAAGTGCTAGGCCCAGTTCCCCTTTCGGCCGAAATGCTTCTGTCATTTGGTTAATTTATGCATGCCGCAAGCTTAATTTATACAAATTGGCAACTCGGCAACGACCGCAGAAGCCCCAGCCCCCAGCCCCCAGCTCCCAGTCCGAAGACCTTAATGAGCTCTGGAGCTGGGACACACACACTATTGACTAATTTGTAACCGCATGTGTTGCAGTGGCAGTGGCAAAGGCAGTGGCAGTGGCAGTGGCAGGAACAGGAGCTATGGCTTCCTGGCTGCTTGGGTCGCATTCCTTGGTGCGTGAGTGCGGGCTATGCTGCGGCTAAATGCTATTTCACACCGAAATGTCGAGATGTCCCTGTCCCTGTCCTTGGCTTTGGCTTCGGCCATGGCCCTGGCCAGCCGCTGGCAAAGTCATTTCCAATGTTCATAAGACAAATGTGTTGCTAATAGCTTGTCGCTGTTGTCGAGAGGGAGTGAGGGTTACCCCTGCTGGTTCTGCTGCTGCTGCTCTTGCTTTGATTAATGTGTTTCGCGCTCTTAAAGCCTATGGAAAGTTGTGTGACTTTTTGGAGTCCATTTATATACATATGTGGGGCACACGCACCAAGAATAGGCCTCGATTAATCATTGTCTGTGGCAGCCACAGCCATAGAAGCAGTGAAAGCAGCAGGTGAAATGTCATGGACAGTGGCTGCACCCATTAGATGCCATTGAACATTGCCCAACTATTTCGTTAAACTTTCTGTCAAAGAAGCTGTCGGCTTTGTCCTCCTCGCATGTCAATGAAATGAAAGCTGCCTCTAAAATTTAAGTGTGCCCGCATATACTCGTCGTCCTCCATAGTTTCCTGTGGGAGGACGAAGTTAATGACAATTTCCGAAGGAGGACCAGCCGAGGAAGACGCAACATAAAATGAAGACACACCTGCCCTCTTCCTGGTTCTGGGTCTGGCCTACCGTCAGCGGGAAAATAATTAAACGTATACAACGTGAGGAGGAGACTCTGGCTTTATGAGGCCGTAATTGCTGGCAGCTGGCTCACGCCGGAGAAGGAGACGGAGCCGGAGTCGGATTCGGAGGAGTAGGCCGAAGAAACTGCGACAACTTTTCATTGGCGGCACTTAAAAGTCGGGCCAAGTCGTTGCCGTCAACCAAATTGAAATGAAAAATTAATGTGATTGTAAAAATTGTTATGTTATGTCATGTGTCTCGTAACTTTGTCCCCTCCCCTCGCAAGCCTATGCGCATAGTTTATGATCTGCCAGCAATAAAATGTGTAGTTCCAAGGAGAGCCAGAAATAAAGGCTCTAGCTTTATTGGATATCCCTGAAGATCCAATGGCAGTTATCAGAGCCTCTTGGAATTCCATCAAATGTCAATTTGTAGCGTTTAGTCCCTGCTTTTGGCTGGGAATAATGGAATGAGGGTGTAAAAACGTACCTTCCCGCAGCGTCACAATGTAGTAGGACTCCTTGGACGGTGGACTCATGCCCAGCTTGTTGACGGCCAGCAGGCGAAAGCTGTAGACGGTGAAGGGCGTGAGGCCGGTCACCTGATATGATGTGGCGTTCGTTTTGGTATAGATGCGAGCCAGCTGATCCCAGATGCCATCTTCGCCCTCTCTGCGGAAAAAAAAGCAAATCATAATTTAATATTGACATGGAAAATTCATTGAGCAATTAATCGAGTGAAATAAGCGGGTTGGATGGCACACATTTTGATGGAGCCAAATTATTTGAAAGTATCATATTATTATTGTGCATTTATATTGCAATTACTAGCTCAATTGCCGCACTTGGCCACACAAATGAGTGTATACAGATGCGGTATCTTGCCACAGATAATGTTGCCATTTTACGGCTGCAATCTGCCAGCGGAGAGCGATCCCAACATGCCATACAAATACGTCCTCGTACATAAACCATGGGCATAAAATGCATTATGAAAATTTATATAAAACGGATGCGGATTTGCATGACACTTGGGGGTGGCGCGCGGGCTCTTTGTCTGGGAGGTGGGAGGTTGACCCGGTTTGGGACACAGGGCATGAAATGTGTGCTGCCGCCCATAGGCACTAAAATATTTATGCGCCTTTTTACCACATAGATACACCCCAATACCTACATATGGGGGACAAAAAATATTTGCTTTTCCTTCTGTTGTTGCTGTGGCACGGCACTGATGGCGGTGGGGCCGCATATAAATTACTCGCAGAAGCCCGACCGCCCCCGCACAATGAACATTTTTCATGGCACATTTCAAAGCGTAGTAAATTTTGGTTTAAACTCATATAATTTTGGCACATTTAAGTTTTTCCGCGGGGTGCGGTGGGGTGGGGTGGGGCCCCGCATAAATTTCGCGTTGTCCCAAAAGTTTGATTATAATGGGAATTACCGATTCGAAAGGCAGACCAGACCTCGGTGACCCAACTCACGCGGCTTTTATGGCGTGATTAAAAATTGTTTTAAATACGAGCCGATGAAAAATTGTGCAACATTTTTATGAATGGCCGAAGAGCCGGCCAGCCAGCCAGCCAGCCGGCCAGCAAAAGAAAAAGAAAAAAAAAGAAATGGTGTTGGGGGGAAAAAAATTGATTAAAATTAATAAATGCGTGCGAGCAGCTTCCGCGTTGAGTGGGGCACATCTGTTTGCCCTGGCAATGGGCATTTAGTGGATATATATCGTGTGTCGTGTGTGCTCTCCCCCCTCCATCCCATCCCATCCCATCCCCCCAGGGGGCAGGGGTCAGTGGCAGTGGGCAGTGGGCAGTGGGCAGGACCGGACAGGCACGCTGCATCCGAAGGACAGGCAATATGTATTCAGTTTGGTAAAAAATTGTTTGGCGACTTTATGAAGCATGCAGCGGGAGTCAGCCCTGTACCTCCCACCCTACGGCTTGGATGTATGAAAAACATATGAAAAATGTAGTGGATCCCATACAAAAAGCGGCAGAAATCTCTGGGAGAGCAGCAGCAGCAGCAGCAGCAAAGTAACCACAATGGCAAATAAATTTGCGGCCTTTCCACGGACATGTATTGGATGCTGTCGTTGTTCTGGTTTTTCCCATTCGTAAGCTGCTTTAAAATTGTTGCTTACTTTTTTGCCTTTTTAAGAAAATGAATGTGTATTATTTATGCATTTGTGTGTTTGGGTTTGGGTTTGAGTTTACTTTGTATGGGGCATGGTATCTCTCTCTCTATGGGTTCAAGGTTTACGCACGAGTGTTGTTGAAGCAGGGAAATTTACTTGCGGCGCCAGGCCCCTGGCAGATAATGTGCAAATACTGCCCGAGGCATGCCGCAGATAAGAGAGCCGGACACTTAATGGGGCAAAGACCGCAGAGTACACAGGGATGTGGCCAAATATTTTAAACAATTTAAGCACTAAATTTAGCCACCATTTATTGCATATTCGTTCATGACAGCGAACAAAAAATACTGGAACGAAGGAATTAATTAATTCGAATCAGAATCAGAATCAAAGAATGGCAAAAGTCATATGTAAATCCATGATTGTGGCTCCCAAAATGATGGGAAATAAGAGTATGTCATCAACAGAGGATATAGCTTTTAATATTATGCGGACCCCTTGTTTTTTTTGTGCTTCAACTAAGTATTTCGCTTTGCTGGCACTTCATTCCGTATGCACACAGAATGGAAAATGGAATGAAATGGAAAACAGTATCAACATCAGTTGATAAACATGTCAGTGCAGTGGGTGCCACAGTCACAGCCACAGCCACAGCCACAGCCACAGCCATAGTTTGGCACAGTTTTTGCGGTTGACCGAAAGTTATCTGGCATAAATATGTGGCATGGCATGCACATCATATCAATGCACACACACACACACACACACAACCAGTGGATGTGCAACAGTTGAGAGGGTCTGTGCAATTTGGGGATCGACTTAACGCTTCGAAGGGCCACCTCAACCCCATTTTCAATTGCATTGGCAAGCCCAAATCCAGCATAAGCATGTCACCATCATCATCGCCATCATCATCATCATCCTCATCGTTGTTGACGCTGACGTCTTTCAATTTCGCAGAGAGCTCATGGGAATACTCGTATGGAAGCCCGCTGCCACCATCCCACTTATGCCTCACTTGCATGCATATGCGCAAATAAACCGAATCAAGCGAAAATGTGAATAAGAGGCGTTGCATCAACAGCAGCAGAAGCAGCAGCAGCACTTGCCCCCTGCTACACAGAAGGAACTCGACTCTCTTCCATATCGATGGGAATTTACATAAAATGCAGTCTGAAGCAAGTACAGCTTTCGGAGGCAGGCAGATTCGGGAGAGAGCCAGCTTCATTTTGTGTACGCGATGCCCAAAAATATACGCACACGCACACGTACACGTACACGTGCATGCTATGCACGCAAATACACTGACAACACACAGCCACACAGACAGGACAAACACTTGGCAGGCGCTCGCGCGTGTTCACATTTCCGCTGGTGTTTGCCTGTGTGGCGGTGGTGGTGCTGTTGGTGGTGGTGCAGTTGTTTCTTATTTTGCATAAATGCACCGCAGGCTCTGCTTTCCAGTTGGCTGTCATCGATTGTGCCACAGCCATAGCCATAGCCGGAGCCAGTGTCTTGTCGAGGACACGCCTCAGCCCGATCCCCATCTCCCTGGCCCCGGCCCCAGACCCTGGCCAGCCTTCTCCATCCGCTGCATGCTGCTGCAGTTGATGGAAATTTATTGAAAAAGTTTCGGTTTTTGGTATTCTTTTTCGCACATTTTCCTTTTGGCCTTTGTATTGCGTTGGCTCTGGCTCTGGCGCTGGCGCTGCGTTCGCTTTTTATTTCATTCCCCGCATTGAGTTCAAGTTATTCGGAAAATAGCCCCGTGCCACAGCCCCATACAGTGCTTAACCCTTCCCCCATGCCGATGGCTTTGTGAGTGTGTGTGTGTGTGTGTATGTTTTCTTTTCTATTTAAATGGAGCACAAGTGAAGTGCGTATCCATGGTACTCGTCCATATCGTCGTCATCCTTTTACATATTAATTAAAGCACCGCTGGACTTGTATTCGTACGAGTACGCGTGGAGGAGGGCTCAGGCTCAGGCACCGACGGATGGATGGATGGATGGATGGATGGATGGATGGGATGGGATGGGAATGGAATGGGATTGGCACCTCCACGAGACTTACACGAATCCCATTGAATGCACCCGGTCCCTGTATTGGATGGATGGATGAAAGGCTGCCCTCCCGGCAGGGATAATTAAACGTGGGTCCAAGCCAACTGTCGCCCTGTGCTTATTCGGGCTTAGAGCCCGATGATGACATTGCTAGTAATCATGATGATTATGAAGATGCCCCTGCGCTCTTTCATTAGCGGAATGGGGTCAGCCTTTGGCCTAGCAAAAGGCGCTTTGCATGTGTCAATCATGGAAGCGTCCGTCATGGCTGCTGCAACAAGCCATCAGCATCCCCCCATCCCCACCGCAGACAACACTTCATCAGCTTAAAACAACCCATGGCGGACCGGCTCTCCATTTCCCACTTTCCGTTTACCATGTCTTTCAACCCGTTTTTGCCCCAACATCAACACTTACCGCGTTTCAATAATAAAATGCGTGACGGGTGCATTCCGCGGGTGTTGCGAGTGCGCCCAGGATAAGTTCACCGAGCGCGATGTGAAACTTATCAACAATGGTCGCTCCGGTGGATCAGGCACATCTGCATTTAAGAAAAGAAGAAAGGAAAAACACAGAGAGATACAGAGAGAGTCAGTGGATGATTGCAGTGGAAAACTGGCAGCTATCTGGGAAATGCAAATGGAAATCATGCCAAGGCGAGAGCTGCAACAATAAAAACACAAGTGAGAAATCGAAAAATAAACAGAACAGAACAGAGCAGCACGGAAAAGCGAACGTATCTGAAAATGAAATCAGCAAATGGTGCGGGGCACGGAAATCACCCAAGTAAACCGGAAAAATCATTACAGTAGTTATGCGTTTCATTAAGAATACAAATAAAGGCTGGCCCCAAAGGGCCAAAGGCAGCGAAAAATAAGAGATAATTTAAATGAAATTTATATTGTATTCGATCGGGGAATGGAATGTCTCCTTCTCTCTCTCTCAACTCACCCTGAACCAGCAGATCGACAATGGCCTCCGGTATATGGCGATCGTTGACCAGACAAATGTACTCCGACGTGTCGCTGGCCAGGGACGGGGAGAACTGCAGCCCGAAATTGTCCGATAAAAGTTGTATCTGCAACAAAATGTTTGAATTTTTAGTGGAATTTTGTGCCCAAAACTAAAACTGAGACGCTTATACAGGGCAGCCGACTAGAGTTTCCACTTAGGGTAAAAGCAAACTTTTTAATAGAAAGAACAAATATACTCGTACGAGTATGTATGTATGTCTACCCAGCCAGGAGCCAGCAGCCAGCAGCCAGCAGCCATCAGGCATCAGACAGCCTCTGACAGCCACAACTGCACTCGACTCGGCTTGAACTTTCCCCTGGAAATGCTAAATTTGTATACATACATAATCTACTTTCTGGGTTATTTCTTGCACCAAAATGCACTTGCCCCCCGCCTTACTGCCCCCCAAAAATTGAACAGAAGGACGGAGGCCCTGCTTGTATCTCAGATTCGTTTGCTTTTTCTATTCTGATTTGCAGAAAATTTCATAATTGCATGAAATTGAAAATACTTTCTATCTATGCATCTATATATATACCATATATGTATATTCATGCAGCTGACTGAAGGTAGAGGGTTCTGCGTATGAGATGCCACAAAGTGGCTGCTCGTTGGGCGATTTTGGTCAAAATTTAAAAGGGTTTTCTCATCAGAGATTACGGCGATACTGTAATTGTGTTTCTGGTGAATTTATGGCCGAGCCCGAAGCTTCGAAAATTGAGAAAGCAAAATGATTTTATCCAGAGTGCAAACAATCCATCCCGCTCCCTGATTTGCTGCTGAAGTATCCTGGCTTATCACCGCATGCCTGAGTCTGTTATTTACTTCTGAATCTTTTGCTGCATGCATGGCCCCAAATTACAAGTTGCTCCAGCCACAAGGCCGGCTGCATCCCCATCAGGATCAGTGGAACGGAACGATGCTTGGTGGCATACGAGTCTATGAGTGGGTAAAAGGCATCTATGAGGCAGCCTGAACCCACAAAATATTTGCCCAAACATTTTCCATGTGGAATTTTTAATTTTCTATCCGATTTTCTGATAAACTCTAATTGCATGCATTTCCTCGTTTACATGAGTGAGTGATTTGCGGCATTAAAGGCAAATCTCTCGTCCTTTGGGCAAGTGGATCTCCTTGAGAACACACAAACATGAATTATATCTAGTCTTGGCCATAAAACAAAAGTTAATAGCTCTGCGGGAGAGGGTCGCGGCGTGTGTGCCGAAGGCGGGAGGGGTTATGTGTCAGATGTAATAAAATGAAGCAGCTACTATGCCAAGGTGAAAAACTTTTAATACACATAATAGCCGGGCCGGCACAAGTCGAGCACTTGCCGGGGAGGCGAAACTTCAGGCAGAGCAGAGCAAAGAAATGCGAGCTGGACCCGTACCCGTGCCTGTGCCCCGTACCCGTACCCGTACACAGGCACGGATTGGGACCAACTTTGGCTGCAGCTCAAGTGTCCCAGTCTGCCATTTAACACATAGTTGGGTTCTAGCTGCAACCAAGGAAGGTTCGCTCGCTGCTCAAAGTCCCTGCACGAGTTCTCCATCATCTTGTTCGGAGCTTGGGCTGGGGCTGGGGTTGGGGGCAACTTCATCATTCCCGTTGCCCGCCTCAATGGCCCCACGAGTGCGTTTAAAGCCAGAGCAGGCGGAGAGAGAGTAATCATTCCTTGGCCGCCCTTTGCCTTGAGTTCCTCTGCCAGATGGCAACCACTTGAACATTTTTTTGCGCCATGTCGCTTTTATTTTAGTGGAACTATCAAACATTTAAAATATATTAGCCGCGCCGTCTGGCAAGGCTCCTGCTCCTGCTCCTCTTCCTCCTTCTCCCTTCGGCCCCCACTGATGGCCACTTTGTTCTCTCGACTTGGGCTGCACTTTCTTGCAGTCATCGCCTTTGTTGGATGACGGCTGGCAAAGTTCAAACGGCCGCCCTGCCTTCCCTGCAAGCGGCCATCAATTATTTTAACAGCTTCGGTTTTTGCGCCCGGAGAAGCCCCACAATATATGTATCCTATCCTATCCACTCTCGGGCCCCTGTCTGGGGAGCATCGTTAGGTGTTGAAATGAATTCTAATATGACATGAACGCGTCCCACTTTGGGGCCCGTTCCTGCCACGGATATTCCACTTACCCGGGGACTGTGCAGCAGGGGTATCCTGTTGGCAAACTGCGCGATTGTCGTCGATGCCGTCTTCCACACGAGCGTGTCCACCAGCGAGTGCTCGTTGACGCCCGGACAGGGTATGGTCACGTTTTTGCCAGCCTCGGCGTTCACCTTAACGTAGTCCAGATTTGTGACGTCTGCAAGAGGGAGAAGGGGAAACAGAGCTGGTATTAGTACTTTATATAAGAGGATGATAGGAGAAAGTGCTGGGCGCATGTAGCTGGTAGCTGGTAGCTGGTAACCGGCCAAAATGTAGGGCATTCCATTGAAAAAGTTCAGGCACTCTTTCCAGAGAAGGAAGCCTCTCCTAACCCATCCCCTGCCAAAGGGGGGCTCAGGGCCCTCTCCAAAGAAGAGCTCAAGTTATTTGGAAAGGAATATTTCTGGCACACAAAAGCGTAAAGAAGCCGCAAAATGTTTTGGTAAAATATCTGCAAGGCATTTTAATTACATAACATGTTTACGGAGCACTGTACCTGGTCCTGTACTGCTCTGTACCGGTACTGATAGCCTCAAACTGAAAGCAATTTCATGCACTAAACTATTTGCACTGCCGTGTCCGACAGTCGATGCCAGTTGGTCACCTCCACAGGTGACCCAGTCCTGAACACTGGACCCAATGTCCGAGAGCGGGGCTTTCATGCATGCAACGACAACGACAACGACAAGAGCAGCAGGAGCAGGAGCAGCAGCAGCAGCAGCTTACCACCCAGATCCTTTGGAGCAATATTTGTTTTTGAAATTGCCAAAAATGCATTCCAATTTCGAGAACCCAGACTCTGACTCCGAGTCCGACTACGACGACGACGACTCAGTCTGTGTGGCCAGAGCTCCAATTAAAATTATAGAAACAACAAATCGATTGCCGGCTGGGCGGCAGGGCCCAGGCTCTCAACGTAAGCAGCTTTGGCAGCTGCAACGGCAACGGCAACGGCAACGGGAACGGGAACGGCAACGGCTCTCCGCATAAATTGGCAAGCGTTCGAGTGTTGGTAATAAGCATTAGGCATGACATGACTCCAATGGCCAGAATGGGCATGCTCCTGTTACGACTACCACCAGTACTACTACTACTACTACTACTACTACGATTGCTACAGCGATTGTGACTGGGACTGGGACAAGGCCTGTGGCCCGCCACTTGCAATCAATTGAGAAATCATGCTGAAAACCCGGCAATAGAGGGAACAACAGCAACTGTCTGTCGTGGCATCGCCAATGCCAAAGCCAAAGAGAGACCCTCACCCGAACCGCCCATTAGCCAGGCCAATAGCCATGGCTGTTGCAGTGGCAGTGGCAGTGACACTGTGGCACTCTGGCAAAGGCAGTTGAAACTCAACTGGTTGCCATATCGACTGGCACTCTGGTACTCTGCTATCTGGTATCAATGCAACTCGGTTTTTTGGGCCATTTGGGCTTTTGGCTCGGATTTTGGGCTCTGGTGGCTATTTTGAAATGGGTGCCAGCTTATGTGCAGCTCTGGGACCTCTTTTGAGGAACGTTGAACGTTGGCAGTATTGATAAATTATCGATTCAATGCTCCCTGAATGGCGCCTCGAACTTGGTCGCATATTTTGCATAATACGAACCCAATGCTGCGGCCTGCCCTGGGGACATCCTTCCCTATAGAAGTGCAGGGTACTGGTCCTGGTTCTGGTCCTGGTCAAATTTTGTGTAATTTATGATTTTCGTCGCCGAATACAGAGCTCGCTCCAGACGCCTAAGGTGTGGGGTCGGCGGTCGTGGAATTTTTGCATATTATGCGATGCGCATACAGATGAGCATAGACCGGAACCATACCCGTAGATGGCGCCGAGTGGGGGAATAGAATTTTAATTTCCTGATGCAAAATGCCAATGGGCCCCCGCGTAGAAGCGCCCTTGGGTTCAGGAAACAATTGCAGCAATTTACGAGTGAAAGGGACCGACGACGACTGCAATCCATTGACCACATACGCCGCGTAGATGTTGGCAATTAAGAAACAAACGGAGCGACAGACAGTCGCTGCAAAATAAATTATAATTATTTTGTGCAACTCAGAGGAGGGCCCAGGGGAATGGAATGGAATGAAATGTCTGGCCACAGGAAAATTAGCCAACGACAATAACCAAAACAAGTAGTCAAAAAGCGACAGCCCCTCGTCAAGACAGGCAGGCAGCAGGCAGGCAGTGCTTCTATGGGTGGTCCGCTTCGCTGACTTTGGCTAATAATCAAATTGAATGCAACCCCCGATTGAATGCCGCCGAGCGACCGACTCACCCGGCAACAATTAATTTTATTTATGTTGATTCTAATCAACGAAGGGCCGTGCCATGCCGGGCCGTCCAAGACCGGGGGTCGGCGGCTGCCATGGCGAACTGTCTGCTGGGGTCCCTTTGAAATCCCGGCAGCTGAAGCTCGTCTGAGCGTATAAGAGATGAAAAATATTGAGTTCATGCTCCAGTGCTTCAGAGCTTCAGTGGTGAAACCCAGTCAGTTCTGACCCCAGTCGGACCCTGCCTTCCCCCACCCACTGGGAGTCAAAAGCATTACAAATATTACAGCACTTAGATGCGTCTGATTGTTTGTTCTGGGATTTCGTGAGCTTCGCCTCCCCTCCCCACCCCTCCTCCGATGCGTTGCCATGTCACTTGCTAGAGTTCGAAGCACATCCCAAAATTGAAGGAGGACAAAGGACAGCAGTCCCTGGCATAATATTGGCTGCTTTGTTGCTGTTGAGGAATGATCATTTGCATTCAGCTGCATTTGATGCTTAGACCGTTTAAGACCCCATTCGTAGAAACTGCCATTGATTGTCAATGGGGATTCCCCCTTTGGGTCGTGTTGTCCTGCCGTTAACCCTTTGGCAAACAACTTTGGCCGTATTTGCCTTTCAATTTCTGCACATTCTCCGCTCCTATGCGTCCGCTGCTGAGTTCCTGTTGCATTGAAATACAGTTTGAATGGACTCCGGCTTTGTGCGTGTGCCACCAACAAGTTGCAACGTTTTATGGCCCTTGGAAGCGAGTGGAGCGTGCAGTCTGCAGTTTGCAGTGCATCTATTTGGAAGCCATTTCGATGCAATTCTCTGTGAAGCAATGGCATCCATCTGTGGGTCTCAAAGCGTGGGGAAAATCGCTGAAAATTGTTAAGCCACTTGAGAGAGTGGTTGGAGTGGGGGACGGTGAGAGTGCATCCATCGCATAAGGATTCGGTCCGCTTTGGCTTATATTAACCGATCCGCAGGCCAAACCCAGGGCCACGTCCACATCCACATCCACGTCCACGTCCATTTCCATCCTCCTGCGGTGCATCCGTTTCAGCTCGGATTAAATTCTGGATTGAATGAGTAATTATCCAATTAAAACTCAAGTTCCTCGTTGAACGGTGGACACTGGCTGGCTGGTTGACTGGCTGTAGCGGGTATCCCTTAATGCTGTGCAGCCAGGCCATAACTTGAGGCACGTGGCAAGCGCGTCAGTCAAGTGCTTGAAAAGGATGCGGCACGCATTTGTATGTGTGTGCGTGTGTGTGTTTGTATCTATGTGAATGGGACTGCCTGTCTATCTGGCCGTCTGTCAGGCTGCTGTTTGTGTAGACATTCAGTCAGGTTTGAAGGGAAAGTAGATGCGTGAGCAGACATCGCTGGCCAGGACAAGGGAGCATCGTGCTCATGACAACCCACACACATACGCACAGATACAGATACATATACATGCACACACACTCTCTCTGAGAGACAGACAATATCCCTTTTTTTATGCCTGAACGCAGCAAATAATGAAATTATGACAAGCCGCAGGAGTCGTATGGTCGAGGGAGGGAGGGTGGTATCCTTTGCGAGGCAGTTCTTGCCGCACGGGGCGGATGCCGAACAGGAGATAAAAGCTGACAAGTGGCGAATGTGAAATATGATTGAGCTTTTCATATGCCACATGCCCAGAGCCCGACCACGCCCTCGAGACACTTTACTTTAACTAGGCGATGCATACCCTCTTGACAATGGCAATGGCCCTGCCACAGCCACTGGCACTGGCACTTGAAGTGTTTCACTTTGGGTAAACATATAGCCAGACGGCGGACGGAGGACGGACGACGGACGACAGCGGACGAAGGCCTTTCCCGCGCCAGGAGCGGCCCCAAAGGATCAGTCAATAATGCTGACATCAAATTGAAGCCAAGCTGATGGCAACTGTCAGGCAAATGTGTTTCAATTTCGTTCAACTTCAACTTTTGCACAGCGAAAGGGAAAGGGGAAGGCAGCACCCGGGTGGCAGCACCCGGTGTGCGGCATGTGGCATGTGGCTAAAGGGTAGCACACGGGCCATGGGTTCCGGGGCAACCGACAGTCGGCGGCCGCCAGTGGTAATCCCTTCCGTTTCATTACACAAATGCGGCTTAAAGAGAGAATATATAATAATACCTACAACAATGCGAAAGCCCTATAAAATATGAGCCATATTAAAATGCAAATAAACCAAGGGATGCGATACACATCCCCACCACACATGCAATATTGTGTATTTGTATATAGTCTGCCCCGGACAGGTGCCTGCCACAATGTCCATCCTTCCACTTCCACTTCCCCTTCCGCCTGCCATTTATCCTTGTTAAATTGATATAATTAACCGAACCGAACTGAACCAAAGCTGGTTTCGATATCAGAAAACTGATCATGAACAATGCACCGGCACTCTTTGCAGCCTCATTATAGCCGGCGTCTGCAGACTTGCGGCGCTCGGTCTCAGGCCCTTGATGCACATCCTTCGCCCCCCCCCCGCCAGTGTGCCAGCAAATTGGCGCTGCAGTGGCACGCTGTGTAAGCACAAGAGCTGTTGCAGGGGCAGGGGCGGGGGGCGGGGGCTGGTGCTGGGGCAGGTATCCTGCATCCTCTTTCATATCATCCTCTCGGCCTGGCCAAAATTCAAATGGAAAATTCTGCACATTTTGCGATGTAAATTGGAATTGCCGACAGGGAAGCCGAGAGCCACGAGCCAGGAGCCAGGAGCCAGGAGCCAGTAGCCTGGTGAGAGGCAGCGTCAGGTGAAAAGTGAAAGGCTCGAATGCCGTTGCCACTTTTCCGGGCAAAATTTGAGAATTTGAGCGCTTTTTTTGCTAGTTTAGAAACGCTTCGAGTGTGCTCTATGTGTCGGTGCAT